GCCCCCCCCGTGAGCATGCAAAAAAGCAGCTGCATCAAATGCACCAATTACATCAGCAACAGCTACCAAGGCATCAACTAAATTCGCGGCAACTACATCGGCAGCAGTTGCACACGCAGCAGCTGCCTCTGATGCGGCAGCTGAACAGCACCAGTGCCTGCATCCCCACCCATTTCTTCGAGTTTATCGAGCTCCTCCTTGATAACGACTGGATTTTTCTTGAGGAGAGCTTGCTCCCTTGTTATCTTTCTCTCGGCTTTGTTCTGGAAAAAGACAGCAACACGTCTCAAGAAGCAAACGATACTGTCCATACAGTTCACTGCGCAACGAGCTGGAACTGCTTATAGACAGGGGAAAAAAGCCACACATATTACAATCATACATATAAATATGCATACGTACAGGCTCACTTCCACTATATATGAATGTATATAACTATATTATGCATTTATATGCACGTGGTTGCAAACAAATATGCACAGCATACGTGCATTCCTGCATTCCCGCTCACCTTCTTTTTTTCGGCGTCCCTCTCCTTGCGCCTATGGGCGGTGGAGGGATTGTAAGCTTTCAGGGTCTCCACCCCGATAAATTTTTTGCTGGGGTTAAACATTTTCGCCGAAAACCAACAAGCATGCACAACCAGGATAATCGCCTTGGATGGCGCAAACTCCTGCAGTGTCTGCTGATGCAGCTTCCGCTTTACTCGCCGCTTTACGTGTTGCAGCAACTGGCACTGCTTCTGTTACAAATCAGGAACGTAATTCTGATCCCCGTAGATCAAATAATCTCTTGCAAAGCCGAGGAAGTGGGGTGGGCTCAGCCGCATTCCACCACAAGAATTCAACGCACTGGTTGAGCTGCATGCGAAGAGCTCGCAGTGGCCCTACATTCAATAAATGGCGCCTTTACCTGGTACTTCTCCTTCCTTTGGCCTCGTTTCCTGCGGCAACGCACGCTGTTGGAACTGCTCGCCGGTCCCTCCCTCAAGAGCTGGCAGGGCTCGAGGAGGGCGTCACTCCTTCGGGTGCTGTATTTCTCTAGAGACCAAACTACGTCTATATTTACTTAATTTAGTTCAGACAGACAAATGAAGACGAAGCTTGCTGTTGTGCCCTCATGGGGGCCCCTTGGCTCCCTTGGGGCTGCCGCGCTGCTCTACTGCAGCAGCAGCCGTGCAGTGCCTTCTTGCATAGTGCGTTGTTCACCATCATAGAACGAAGATGCGAGTTAAGGCCGTATTCATTTCTGCGGTTCAATTGTTGCTACAAATGTTTCAAGGGGGTGTCTCAGCAATAACCTGTTCTCCGCTGCACCTAGGCGACTGCCGCCTTTACAGCCCCGCCACCGTCTCTCCAGTGTCCTACATATCGAGTTCATGGGCCGTCTCTGTTTCCAGCATTACAAGGACAATCTCCATTTTATATAGCAACAGTCTCACTTGAAACCTGGTTAATTCTATCTCCCTTTGAAACCCCACTAACAAGGATAGCGTGAGACAGCGGCGGCTGGCTCCACCGTTGGTCCCCTTTTCAACTGCCGTTGTCGGCATCACTCTCCTTCTTCTCTCTCAGGTTTTCGTTCTGTCTGATAGTTGCCTGTTGCTCCCCGAAGTGCACTTTTGCTGCCAACAGGCTGTCTTTCTCCTCAACACCAGGCACAAGACCACCATGTCTCCTCCCCTCTTCCTACTTGCTGCCTCTGCTGCTGCCTCCTTCGCTCTAGGCCCCGAAGCCTCTGTGCATGCCTTTAACCTGCAGCTCAAGACAGGCAGACCCGTAGGAGTTCCTTCTCTCGTGTCTTCCTCCACCGATCTGTTGAAGGGGCCTTCCTCAGCGCCTGGCGCTCCTCTAGCAACAGCGGGGGCTTCCTCCCTTCCAGTGAACGAGTTGCGCCTTCATGCGGCCCCCAGCCCTCCAGGAGAGGAAGCGGCCCCTTCTTCTGGAGTAGACAGCAGTGTGCTGGCAATGGCTGCCTTCCTGCGCTGCCATAAGCCTCTGCTGAACGACCGAGGCCCTGAGTTGCCGGACGGCAACCTCTGCATGCTGCTTCGGGGCTGTGACGCACACCAGCGGATGATATCTCCACTGGAACTAAAGACAAACGCGCAGGCGTTGCCAGGCGCAGCGGCTGCAGGCGTGATGGCGGCCAAGGGTACTGCTGCAGCAGAGGCCCTCTGTGAGCAACTAGGGGAATCGCTCAAACTAGGCAAGGGGCCCCACGGGGTCTGCCCAGTGGAGCTTCTGAAGCTGGAAGTGGGGAAGGTCCACCGGTTGCTGCAGTTTGCAACAGCTGCGGGGCTCAAGAAGAACTTCATGAGCTCCGATGCTCTTCTCGTCATGCTCGAGCTTTACGAGGTACATCCAAGTATCAATGCGGAGACCATTGACACGAATTCCAGCAGCTTGATACACATCTGATTCTTCCGGCCAACATAGAAGTAGGGTGTCGCTCACTTTTCCTGCTGTTTTTCAGGAAGTTGGTCTTAATAGCGACCATATTGTGCAAGTCGTCAAAGGTCTAAGAGATTTCTATCAGGCAAGTCTAGATGATGCTGCTGTTGCTTCTGCTGCTGAGAAAATGTGAAATAGGAGTTGATTTGACTGGTGCTGCTCTTGGTCGTTGTGACATATTGTGAGGGGCTCTTGGGAAGATGCCTGCGTCGGCTGTTCCCTGGCTGTGATGACTCAGAAGGAAATGGAAGAGAAGGGCTTCCGCACTTTTTTTCTGCCCGCATACGACGAGGTTCTTGCCAAGTTCGGCGAAACAAAAAAAGTAGGATTCTACTCTTCTGAAAGGCCCGTTAAAAGCTGAAGTCGATCCGCGCCAGCGTAGAAATCACTGCAGCAGATAGCGACGAGGCCATGCCGAGATGCGTGTATCACAGCTGTCCTGCTATCCCCAAATGTTGTGCATTATTCTCGCCTTCACCAGCCTTGCTGTTTTGTCCGCCGCTTGCTTTTTGTTATCTCCAGCTGGTCAAGCATGCAGAAAAGGTGCCGTTTTCGTCGCTTCCGTACGAGCCCTCTCCGGACCCCCGAACCATCACTCCTCTGGTTGTGGACATAATGCAGTTCAAAGACAAACTGCGTAGGCATATATGCCAAGATATTGTAGACCTCTCTTACCACTTCTGCCCCATGGCCGTTATTGCAGCCGCCGATAGCAGTCACACTTCTGCCGATTAGTTGATGAACGATAAACGGCTACAGTGCAGCGCGTAGTCAGGACTTTATTTGTGTATATCGGTGTCCCTAGCCTGCTTCCCGTCCTTTCGCCTGCCTCGATCGTGCGCTCAGCTGCTATCAAGAAGTGGGAAGGCAAACAGTAGACGACTATGGCCGCGACGCAGCGAGATCTTCGTGTTAGTCTTGGCGGTATTTAGTGTAAACACCGTACACATCTGCACCAACTGTCGCTGCTGCAGCTCGCAAAGGCTGCAAGGCAACCTCTGGGGGCCTCGGATTTTCAGGGAGTGGTGCCTGTTACGGGAAGGCAATACGGCGGCGACAGGATGCGGGCTTCTAAAGCCTGCAGCGTGGCGCCTGGAATTGGGCTTGGAAGATTAACGGCCGCGATAGTTCTGGGTGTGAGACCCTGCAGTTGTTGTTTGAAGCAGTGGTCTACCAGACCTCCCCGCCAGAGGTGGAGACTCTATTCGTGTATTTTCGTGGAACTCGGCTCCATGCATACTCCCCGCTTTCCGGTTTACTGCAGCTACTGCCGTTGCACTCTCTTTTGTAGAAGTAACAGCGAGTTGTGCGGCATGCGCTGCGGAAGTCGGTCAGACGAGGATTGATGCATTTGGGGGACAGGCCAGTTTCTCTGGTCAGGCCATAACCAATTTGTAGGTCGGCTGCAAGAGAAGCCTGGCCGCCGCCTCTAGCAATAAGTCGTTAAAAATGCACAAAATCAGGACTTGCTATTGTGTTGCGTGTTCCGGAGTCACAACTCAATGGGCGCCCATCACATAACGAGATACATCGTCAGCATCATTCAACCTTCCGTTGTTTCCGCTTATCTGAAGTGCATGCTTTTGGACAAGCACGGTAATAACAGTTGGAAGTGTCGCCATGCAACGATTGAATTCTTCTACAGCCTGCTGTGAAGTTTCACCCCAGACGGTTAACTCTCTGCACCCCTCGTCTGAGTCGCATGCTGACTGTACGCAGTGTCCCAGCGCAATCATCTACAGCTGTGGCCACGGGAGAGTAGAGGCCTTCAACAAATGGCTCAGCGTGGTTGGATCCTTCAGTTGCCTTTGGGTCCCTTTACCCTTCCGGTTGTTGAAACTGCTTTCCCTGCGTCACTATGAAGTTCGTGAGCTATTACTGGTACATATGAGAAGAACTGAGTGTTGTATGCTCTACGACGGTCACTTCTATATTGTTTCAGCCAGTGTGATTTGTGCACCCCCCAAGAGAGTGGCTATGCACACCATTGGTCAGACCGCCATAACTGACGACCTCGAGCATCGGTGGAAGCCAGTCTCACTGTTCGGCACATATTTGCACATGTGATGGAAAATGTTCGAAAAATCATGAATGCAGATTGAAACTTCCAAGCACATCTGTGGAACATGCACCGGAAGCACTGTCGACACTTCACTGTCGCTGAGGCAGCCACTGCTGGTCACCTGTCGAACTGACCCCATTCGTGTTACTCTAGGGTCCCATAGAAAGCCCATACATGATATTTCTAGCTTCTGTATTGACTTAATGTATAAACAGACTGTGTTGCGTAGGCAGACGAACGCATCACTGCTTGGGACCACCGGCCCGTGGGCAACTTTAATGTGGTATTGCCGCGCCATCCGTCCGACCGCTGCTCGGATTGAGAGCAAGGCTACCTATAAGCTCCTAAAAAATCTACCAATTTTACTATCAACAAGTTTTGCTCACCTAGACATGCCTCAGGGAAGGCGGGTTCTGTCTAGAGGTTTCTTCTTTCCTCTTGTTGCAGAGTACGCGTACATTTCGTCGACTCGTTCTGGAATAGTTGAAGGGAGGACAAGTAAATTTCTCTTTCTCATCAAGAAACAGTTGCTCGCTCTTTTCTTGGTATCAATTGTATAAATCCCCATTCCTTTCGGAGGTTTCAACCTCCCGATGACTCGTGTCTGGGGTCACTTCCAATCTCCTTCCTGAGGCACCCAGTTTCATGAGCACAACAGTCCAACGCAGGAGAGAAAGAATCAGCAAACCCTGTGCAGGCAAGATAGGTTGGCCTCTGGGCTAATTCCTTTCCCTGCTTGGGAGGCTGTTTCTCCGGTGCTCTACGCTGCGGCTGCAGCAAAGCGAGGCTGTTACGGAGATGGAAGGGGATGGTGAGCGACGGGAGCAACACGAGGTAGCATCTGAGCAAACGAAGTACACAGACAGTGAGCAAAAGGCTCCAAGTACCAGTACAACAGCGGATGGGCCTGAAAATGAGCCATCTCGGGGCAGCGAAACTGACAGCAATTACAGTCAGCTAAGCTATGCCATGCCAGAAGGGCGAACCGAACAGGAGGTGCCCCGCCTTTCTGATGGCAGTGCTGAGACAGTTTGGGGAGAAGAGGAGCCAGGCGCCCCTGGGTTTTCTTTCTGTTCATTTTCTCCTCCCCCGAAACGAAAACGCCCTTCCCACGCCGTCGTCCTTGAAGCCTACAGGGATCCTGGACTTGCAGAAAACATGAACGTTGGCACCAACACGACACATTTAGTTTTGGGCATTCCTTATCAGGCAGACGAGAAACACGCGGAGGTAAGTCGTTCCCACCTCCAGTTGGCTGTTGGCCTTCTAGCAAATGATCCCACCCTTAAACCGTCAAGCCGAATGAAAACTTTTGAATCTTAAACACTAATGCGTACTACTGTCGGGCATTGACATCCTTATTGCAGGTGGGGGGCGCGGGGAAGGGTGGGGCACAGAGATGCAAGGATGACTTTCGTGCCTCTGGATAGTGCTAACTCTGCCGGGGAAGACCCCAGGGAAGGAGCTGTTTTAGCCCGTGTGTTGACTGTCCATGTGGGTGCTGTTGTGAAAAGCAGGGGCCATGCCGCGAGGTGCCCTTAGGAAGAGAATTGCCGGATCAGTTCCCGGCTTCGTCACCCAGGAGACCGCACCGCAAGTACAAACTGCTGCACAATGCTGGTAAGCGCGCAAATGTAGTTAATGCACACAAGCTACGGCTGTCGTGAGCTTGGCGTTACGACCAGATGGGCAGCCATTGATGCTGGATCACGCACCGTACTCCAGCTGTTGTTGTTGCTGCCTTTGTAGCAGCAGCATCAGCTGGAGTTAAAGCGGAAGTTTAAGTAGGGACAACTACATACAGCAGAAGAACACCTGCACAGCCGTTTGATGTCGGATGCGAAAGACAGAGGAATCGAATTCTATTGCGAATGCGCTGAAATGCTGCTTCCGTTTTGCTGCAGCGATGGCACTAACCTTTGTGGCGATCGTCTCTCTGTGGGGTATTGTGGTACGGGGCACAGCAACCGCAACAACATCCTTTTTCCTTTTTCTTTTCCCTCTCATACACTGGAGGTCTCTGTATACCTGGGAACGTCCACAAGTTTCCGTGTTGAACAATCTCACGGCAGTAACTTTTCACACGTCAAACCTTGAAGGCAGCGCACTACATGCGTTCTTTTGCTTATGCATTTGGAAGCGGGGTTATTCTTCTCAGGACATGGGGGTTGAACTCGCCTCTGGAGTGGACAGCGGCCATCAGTTTCAGCTGTATGCGGTGCTGCTCATTATTGGAGTTCTGGCGGCGCTGGCCCTGAGGAAGCTGAAGGCGCTCTCCTACAGATGGACATCGTACCCAAGTACGAGCAGATGTTGCGGATGTTCATTTTTTTGTCGCACACGTATCCTGCCGTCAACCTACCGGTGCCTAGACTTGTGTTCACTGCTAAGTGTGCTCTTGCCTCTCCATGGTCTTTGATATGACCGTTCTACTGGTTCGCTCACAGCAGCCATTTAGTTGATAGTTGACCTTTTCCCCACTGGGTGGCACAGACAACACAAAAGAGGCTCATGCCCGAGAAGCGCGAGGGAGGGACTTTCATTAATTCTTTGTTGCATGTTGTGTTTGTCTCTCTTAGCCTTGCTGGCGTCTTTGCTGACGGCTGCTGCTGCTTGGGGCCTTGTGGTGAGGGAGCAGAACTGAGGGCACCATGTTTCACTTGCAGGCAGTAATGCCCCAGATATACAAAGGATTGGAAGTGCTGTTGGTGACGGTTCCTCCTTCAATCTTCTGCTCCTTTTCATTCTTTGCTATTTGCTGCACAGTAATTGCTGCCAGTCTGCCTCATTCCGCTTCGAGTCTTGTGGTATATAGTCTTCGATGCGGTCGAACGTACACACTGCAGCTGAAACACGATATTCTGCTGAAGCCTACCTGCAGCTCTGTGCTGGTGCGAGCAGGACGTGGCGATTGAAGCAGCTGCTGGCGAAGACAAGTCACTGCGTCTGTTGTATTATTTCTTTGGTTTCCTCGTGGCAGGCTTCCTGGTGACAATGCACGTGACACTCATTGATAGAAGTTTTAGGACAGTAGTGGAGGGGTTCATTTGACATATCAGAAGCGTTCACTGGCTTCTACAAGCAAGACAAATGCAGCCGGTCCCCCAAATGGTGCTCCAGGTTGCACATACTCGCCTTTGTTTTCGTGCGTTTTGCACTCGTATCACCTTCTGCCACAGAATAGAGAGCAAACTGACGCGAGACAGAAGTGCCGGTGCGTGACGCTATAGGTTCTGGCGTGCAGTTTACCTTCACGGGAGCAGACACTCCAGAAAACAAATAATCGTTTCTCGGGTTTTTGAAAACGCATTTAAAGCACAACACAGTTGGACGCATGCCAAGCACGGCGCGGAAAATACTTTTATGAACAAAGAGAAAAACGAAGTCAGTCAGTCGGAGAAAAGCACCGCTGCAACGTTTGTCAGTCTGACAGAAAAGAACACATAAGGCTCTCTTCAAGCATTGATGAGCTTCGAGTGTGGTGGGCTTCGCCGCTTCCTCCACAGTATAAGAACCGCGAAAGCTTTTGATTCTGTTGGAATAAGTTGCAAGAATGTACTATGAGTTTTCCTTAGAAACGCCCGGTGGAAAAGTGCCTTGTTGCTCTCGGGTGCAGAAAGAAAAAGTTGCAGTTATCACCCTGTACTGCCGATCCTATCAGCAGCTATTTATTGGACTTTGCGCTATCAAATAGTCTACCAGATTGGAATCCTAACAAGCAAGCATCAAGAGAGCTTCAAATAACTTCCATAGTGATTGGGTCTGCGTGCACACATTATTTGATGTTTGCTTGTTGGAACCCTCACAAGAGAGCTTCAAATAACTTCCATAGTGATTGGGTCTGCGTGCACACATTATTTGTGAGGGTTCCAATCGTGTGAACTACATGATAGTGGCAAGCCCGATAGAAAGATGCTGGAAGTATCGACGTCACAGGGTGCTGGGTAGCACAAGCAGGCGAAATGGCTCAGCCTCTGCAGCAATCGAGCGTGTGCACGCACACAGGAAAAATGCTAGTTGCAATGATGCTAAAAATACACTACCACCATAACTACTGCTCTAATACTAAAACCGTACAGCAAACATCAGTCGAATATCGTATACCGCTATTGCTGCTATTCAGCTGCTGCGCTTCTGCCATTGCATAACTCCCCCTGTTCCTTACATGGCTTCATATAATTGAAATATCCATGAAAACCTTCCCCTAGAAAAGGTGGCAACGCTGTTGAGAGCAGTGCAACTTGAATTTGGGCTGTGCTCAACTACTCGGCGTCCGTTGCAGGCTGTCACATGCGAGAGAGGTCTTGTTTATTTCTACCCATGTGCACCTTCCTGCTGACTCTTCTTTCCTCGTGTTCTTGTGCTGCTTCGGGAGAAATGGGGGCCGGATGCAGGATGAGCTATGCTATGTGGTTGCTCCGTGAACCTCCAGTGGCGCTCGCGCTGGCCACGGAGGGCCTGGTCAGCGCAGTACCACTGTCTGCAGTGATTGCGCGTGCATCAAAGTGTGCGCTATTGTATTTGTTATTGTGGCTGCCTTGAAGCACTAGTTGTAGCGAGGCACGTTTGTGGTGAGTGTCTGTGACCTTATCCAAGGCCACGGACACTGGTCGCGACCTGCTGTGTACCCAACATACACTATGTTTATTTCAAGCAACAAAATTACACCCAGACTATCTAGGCCTGCTGGACACAGCAGCTTGATCCCCTGGAGCTGCAGGAGAGGATGCAGCCTGTCGTGAGGCGCAACGCACCTCGTTGCAACTCAAGTGCAAAACAGCACCAAGTGCATGCACAACGGAGTCTCTTTCTGGACGCGCAAACACTATAGGGAATTATTGAAGGGTTCCGCTCGCATTCAGGCTGCCCATCAAGGAAGGAAAGGGCTCATATGGCACCTCAGACAGACTGCACCACGGGGGATTGACATTGCTAGAGCGTACAGCTCACGAGGGGCAGCCTCCTCTACGTGACAGTTCCAGGCCATTGGGACACTAAGACCAGGACGAATGCCTACTGGAATGGATGTCAGCTGCCATCTGAGAGCTCTTATCTTTGGTATTTTGACTGTATTCCAGCCTGCTTCAGACCTAAGATCGAGGATCCTCGCTTCAAAAGCACAACTAAGCACACTTTGCTGCACGCACTAACACAGCGGAGAATCGCTAAACTCTTACTTGGCCCTGAGTTACCCGCCTGCTCGAATGTGTGTATGCAGATAATACCAACCTCAGAGGGAGCGTGCCACATAGGTACGCCGTGGCTGGCGTGATGCAGGGGCGGTAGTTTGGTGGTGATCCGGTAAGAGATTGAAATCCATATCTTCGTCCGCTTATCTGATTATACTAATAGAGACGCAAAACCTTTGAAACAAAGGGAGTTGCCTAGCATGAGGCACCAGCCAGCTGTATCTACTCCTCCTTGTCCACAGCCCAACAGGCGTCCTTGGCAGCCGGTCGCCATCCGCTGAGAAGCCTCCGGGGCTGGCGGGTGTATAAGTTTGATGATTAAGATTGGATTGCATTCTTTTGAAGATTTGTTGTATGCACACTTATGCGGTAGTTCATTCAAGTGAGCAGCAGGCCTCAACACTCAGTTCTCACTTGCGTTGCAGTGCTGAACGCTGTACACCGCTTCCGTCGGCAGTGGGTGTTGCGGCTGCTCGTAATTGCGCCTTCCACAGTATCTCCTCAAGCCCCACTTGTAGACAGCTGCCCTTCCCAACATCGGCAGTAGACGGCTGATTCTGGCTTCCCCCGCTACCCACCCTCCCTCCCATGCATTCTTTCTCTCGGCCTCTGTTGAAGTGAGGCGCCGCGGCGGTGGGGGGGTGGGGTGGGT